ATAGCCGATAATGTGACAGTCCGAGACGAAGTTGAAGGCTGTGTATATTTGTTTATTTTCCAATATGGCCGACAAGGAATATTTTAACATGTTTATTTCGTTATTTTTCGTTCTTTTCTCGCTGAAGTTATGTTTAGGACAATATAATTGTTCCATGGACGTTAAAGGATGTTATTGTACTAAAACATATATTGACTGTTCAGGGGCGGATTTTACTGAAATCAGTGTTATTTACCCGTACATTACGAATAATACGTACCGAATCCATATTACAGGGGGGAGAATTCGCTCCCTTCCAGACGATCTTTTTGAATCCAGCACTTTGACGGGACCGTTGGATAAGATAACATATCTGAATTTATCCGGCAACAACATTGAAACAGTTGGAAAAGAGGCATTTAACCAACTTCCTCGTCTCGAAATTCTGGACTTGTCCAACAATGATATGCAAGTGAACTTGTGTGAGGAAAAGAATGAGTTGTCGACATCTCTAGCGCCACTTGTGAATGTGAACGAGCTCTATCTCAGACACATCTTCAGTAAAGAAGTTTCGGGGTCCTGTGATCCGGGAAATATATTCACAGGTGCCAACATGACTCGTTTAAAGACACTGGATTTGAGTTCGAACGGGTTCGATCTTGTGGGTTCAAATATGGAGCAATTTCTATGTGACTCATACAGCATAGAAACCTTGAATCTTTCACGAAATTATTTTGCCGTACTGCCAGTTTCACCTTGTATGACTAATGTTGTGAATCTTGATTTATCTTACAATAAGATTTCACATTTGACCGCAGAAGATGTTGACGTCATTCAAAGTCTTGTAAACCTTCAAGTCCTGAAACTAGGCGGGAATCCCTTTGGATGCGATTGCTACCAGGAGAATACATATATATTTCTTAAAACAACTACCCTTGGCCTAGATTTCGACGACATCAAATGCAGCGGAGACTCCTATGACTCAGATCTTGTAGGAAAACCGATGAAACGTTTGAAATACACAGATATGTGTGAGGAACCCCGTATTATAGGGTGCTATGGACCGAGTGGACTGAGCACAATAACATTTATAGCAGGAAGCGCCGCTGTACTTATTATCGTTGTAACTGTTGTCGTTATTGTCTGCCGGCGCCGCCGTCGGAATCGCCGGCAACCGGTCACCGAAACAAACTCTCAAATTATTCCTGCAGTCGCTAAAAGTACAGCTTATACTAGAATGGTGTAAAATGAAACTAATGTAAAAACTGGACTAGAACTTATAAATCCTTGAAAACAGCTTTTCTAATAATAACAAGATTGGTTCTTCATTTTAGATGAATCGATCTGTTTTGAACGGACGCTTGTTATTCTTGATATTGATCGTCTGTAGGATGCTGTACAACTGTGATACTTTTTATACTTTATGTGTGTTACTGATGGGTGTTCATTTGCGTTATTTACATTTTCTGGCAGACTGACATTTCAGTAGTGCTTTACATATATACATGTTGTAAATTGCTTATTTCGAAGAAAAAGCTTTTAAAGATGTGAACATTTACAAAAAAAACCTCCTGATTAAATAGATGTCAATCTAAAAATATTATTCAGTTTTCAAGACAATCTATACTTTCTAAAAGAAAAACGTGTATAAAATAAACAAAATAATAGCGTTTGTATTTTAAAAAAAAAATATGGTACTTCCAAAATGTTTGTATGAAATAAGTATGATAGGAAATTAAGTAAATGCCCTGAAAGCAAATGACCAATGCTCAAAATCTTGGCTAATCGGATAAGACCCCACTTTAAATAGCAGAATATTATTTTGTTCTGGAACATTTTATTCTGTTTACATACAATAGTCATGTGTATTAAGATATTCTATGTAACAATTCTTTCCAAAATCGACCATACGTTCATGAAACCAATTCAGTTTTATTGTTGATAGATTTTTATGAAAATATTTCATAAGATATAGCTTTAATTTTGTCAAGAATAGATTTTTTGCGTACTTTTTTTCGGCAAAGCTGCCTTTCAGAAAACATAAAAATATTTATTGAATCTCAGTTTGTAATGTATTATATTATGATAGATGATATATATTTGGTATCATGATCTCTTAAAAAAGAAGAAGACTGAAGAATAACCTAAAGAAGAAGAAGAACAACAAAAAAGATGTTGATGGTGATGATGATGATGATGAAGATGATGATGATGAAGAAGAAAATGAGATATTGTCATTCTTACAGTTCTTGAAGATCAAAAGAGTTTAAAATCATAAAAAGGTGTTTACATCACCTAAAATCAATAACATTTTACTGCAACTACTTCCAATTTTATTTATATTACTCTTCTGTGACATAATTTGTGGAATATGCAATACATTTCAATTACAAGAGCCTTTTGTATATCAAAGCAGTTTTGAATAATTTAAATTATGTCAAGTTCACGCATGACAAAATATTTTATTATTGAATTACTTAAAAGGTACATTAAGCCTCAGCAAAAGCAGTGAAAATATGGTTTAGAGATTTTGCCAGTGAGTAACAATTTCTCAACTGTAATTGTACAAAAAAAAATTAAAAAATTTGAGAGATGAAAATACATGTATAATATTTTTGAGACGTTATGGGCCTATAAGTTAGATATCACGTTAATTTTTTTATTAAGTTATTTTGAAAAAAATTACGCAAATTATTGAAATAAGCCAACCAGTTAGGATATTTGATTTTATTTAGACTTTATTTTTCTTATTTTTATTTGCTCAATTTGTTAAATCCCAAGGAATTATGAATATTTGACTATATCATGTATATAATAATTATAATGTATGTCAATATATAGATTGTATATATATACGAGTAAGGTAATATTGTTATATTTGTTTCTTGTTGATGATTGAAAGTGCTGCCATATGTTATCCATTTGAAACAAATTTGATTTCATGTTTTGTTCATATTAAAATATGTTATTTGTGTTGTGAAAAATTCAAAAGAAAGAAAACATAGAAGACATAGCAGCAAAAAATCTCAAGATGGATTCTAAGTTACTCATGGATATGTTCGATTAGAACCCGGTTTACATATATAATGTTTTCTAGTGCTTTGTTCAGTTTTCTTTTTGGTTATTTTTGTTACATACTAAAGCTTTGATTAAATAGAATATATTTATATTTTAAATAAAATATATAAATTATGTGTTTTCATGTAACGAAATGTGCATATCAATACTTATAATTATAATGCATATGAATGTTTAGCGACCTTCAGCTTTTATTTTCTGTTGGAAAATCAATTCTGTGTTGTTTCAAACTAAATTTCGGTAATTTAATCTCGGAAAAGTACATTATATCACTTTTAAGCATTCTTCAAATCAACGTCCCATAAATCTATTTATAAGATAGGGAAATGAACTCTCTTTAACAATTTAAATATAGAGAGCGGACACCGGGTGATTATAAGTATCGAGGGGTGTCCTTATTTTTTACGAATTTTATCGTCAGCAAATTTCATTTTCCATCATAATTATTTTGATTTGACAACTACACGACTCAATTTATCTAATTACATTAAAAAATAAAATGTTTAACCTTGAGATAAGCTGAAGGCCGCTTTAACTTCATTGCAAGTTATAATTTCCTGGATGGTCATATTGATTACTTCAACGATATTTTCGCATTGGTAATACGGGAAGTTAAAGGCCGGGACCGCGAAGCGGGACCTCGGGTTTTTTCTTGCCCGGCTATAGACTACACGTGTATATTTAAAAGAAAATCAAATATAAAAAAAATAAAAAATACATATAGAATTATATACCTATTAATGGAATTTTCAGTGTCAGTTCTAGGCGGGCCCCGCCATTTTCAGTGTAACTTAATGATAATAGCACAGGCGTTCGGCACATTTGCCATGCCAATAATGGTCAAATTATCATAAAATAATCACCCCTTTTGATTATCAAGAACAAAATTACTACCCGTTTACTATATAAAATATATAAAAGGTATATAACTCGCCGTAGCCTATTCCCCCGACACGGTCAACATTTTGTTCTCGCACGTTTTTTTTTAAATAAGACATATTTTCATACTTAAACATGCAAACATAGTACCACGAGTAAACATGCATTATATTTTTTTTTTAGTAAAATATAAGACCGAACACAATTATGGTGAAATTTTATGTCAACTTTGATTTTTACCTGTTCACTTACCATTATCACTTGTATGGGCATAATGCGACTTTTAACGGTTTAACATTTGACATGATACAACAGTAACGATTTAGAGAGCTTCGTGTATCACAATTTTTAAAAAAAAAAAAAGATTGCACCCTTTACCTGAATAGTTTATATGCTTCTTGTAATTATAATATTTTGATGCCGTACGCATGCATTCAATAGAATTACTTTATAAAACGCATGTGCACAGTTTTAACTTTATTTGTTACATACCCTTTGCATCCTTTATCCGGCTTATATCACTACCATGAACTTTTACTGAAAATGTGTTTCAAATCTGTCTGATAATATAAAGATTTTTTAATGAGAAAAAAAAATCCGTTATCAACCCCGTAGATAATCGAAATGAAGGACTCAAAAGCTGATTTATTTGGATTTAAGTTATCTTCCATACTATATGTTAAAATGTATAGATATGTACATGCTACAACGTATTGTATTAAATTTGTAACTATGTATAACCCCTCCCCCACCCCCTCTCAAATTCAACAAATATATCAAGTTTTAATGTACACTATATATTTATTTCATTCGACGCATTAAAGATCTATAAAATATACGTTAGTGCGTAATTGTCTAAAAATAGATTCAAGCTAAGCGGTGTTATCTGAATACGCTCCCGTGTCTTAAAATAGCCGATAATGCGCCAGTCCGAGACGAAGTTGAAGGTTGTGTATATTTGTTTATTTTCCAATATGGCCGACAAGGAATATTTTAACATGTTTATTTCGTTATTTTTCGTTCTTTTCTCGCTGAAGTTATGTTTAGGACAAGATAATTGTTCCATGGACGTTAAAGGATGTTATTGTACTAAAACATATATTGACTGTTCAGGGGCGGATTTTACTGAAATCAGTGTTATTTACCCGTACATTACGAATAATACGTACCGAATCCATATTACAGGGGGGAGAATTCGTTCACTTCCTGACGATCTTTTTGAACCAAGCAGTTTAACGGGACCGTTGGATAAGGTAACATATCTGAATTTATCCGGCAACAACATTGAAACAGTTGGAAAAGAGGCATTTAACCAACTTCCTCGTCTCGAAATTCTGGACTTGTCCAACAATGATATCCAAGTGAACTTGTGTGAGGAAAAGAATGACTTGTCGAAGTCATTAGCGCCACTTGTGAATGTGAACGAGCTCTATCTCAGACACATCTTCAGTAAAGAAGTTTCGGGGTCCTGTGATCCGGGAAATATATTCACAGGTGCCAACATGACTCGTTTAAAGACACTGGATTTGAGTTCGAACGGGTTCGATCTTGTGGATTCAAATATGGAGCAATTTCTATGTGATTCATATAGCATAGAAACCTTGAATCTTTCAAGAAATTATTTTGCCGTACTGCCAGTTTCACCTTGTATGACTAATGTTGTGAATCTTGATTTATCTTACAATACGATTTCACATTTGACCGCAGAGGATGTTGACGTCATTCAAAGTCTTGTTAACCTTCAAGTCCTGAAATTAGGCGGGAATCCCTTTGGATGCGATTGCTACCAGGAGAATACATATATATTTCTTAATACAACTACCCTTGGCCTAGATTTCGACGACATCAAATGCAGCGGAGACTCCTATGACTCAGATCTTGTAGGGAAACCGATAAAACGTTTGAAATACACAGATATGTGCGAGGAACCCCGTATAATAGTGTGCTATGGACCAAGTGGACAGAAAATTTATTTGAGCAAAACAACATTTATAGCAGGAAGCGCAGCAGGAATTGTTGTACTTATTATCGTTGTAACTGTTGTCGTTATTGTCTGCCGGCGCCGCCGTCGGAATCGCCGGCAACCGGTCACCGAAACAAACTCTCAAATTGTTCCTGCTGTCGCTAAAAGTACAGCTTATACTAGAATGGTGTAAAATGAAACTAATGGAAAAACTGGACTAGAACTTATAAATCCTTGAAAACAGCTTTTCTAATAATAACAAGATTGGTTCTTCATTTTAGATGAATCGATCTGTTTGAACAGACGCTTGTTATTCTTGATATTGATCGCCAGTAGGAAGCTGTACAACTGTGATACTTTTTATACTTTATTAGTGTTATTGATGGTTGTTTATTTCTTTTTATTTACATTTTCTGGCAGACTGACATTTCAGTAGTGCTTTACATATATACATGTTGTGAATTGCTTATTTCGAGGAAAAAGCCTGTAAGGATGTGAACATTAACAAAAATACACCTAATTATATAGATATTAGTTTAAAAATATCTATCGATTTTCAAGACAATTTATAAGTAATAAAAGAAAGCTGTCTGAAGTGTATAAAGCTATATATATCTGCTGAAAAATATCGTTTGAACTTAAACTTCCAAAATGCTTGTATAAAATAAGTATGGTAGTATATTGCCTTGATGCTCTGACATTATCGTTGCTAAAACATAAAATAACAGAATATTATTTTGTTCTGGAACATTTTATTCTGTTTACATACAAAAGTCATGTGTATTAAGATATTCTATGTAACAACTCTCTCCAAAATCGACCATACGTTCATGAAACTAATTCAGTTTTATTGTTGATAGATTTTTATGAAAATATTTCATAAGATAAAACTTTAACTTTGTCAAGAATAGATTTTTTTCGTACATTTTATCGGCAAAGCTGACTTTCAGACAACATAAAATTTAATATTTATTGAATCTCAGTTTGTTATGTATTATATTATGATAGATGATATATATTTGATATCATCATCTAGAAAAGATATCAATTTATAATATGATTATGATTGTTTCAAATCTATATCATACGTTAATATCTTTTTTTTTTAAAAAAAGAAGAAGACTGAAGAATAACCTAAAGAAGAAGAACAAAAAAGATGTTGATGATGAAGATGATGATGATGAAAATGAGATATTGTCATTCTTACAGTTCTTGAAGGTCAATAGAGTTTTAAATCATAAAAAGGTGTTTATACCACCTAAAATCAATAACATTTTACTACTACTACTTCCAATTTTATTTATATTACTCGTTATGTGACATAATTTGTGGAATATGCAATACATTTCAATTACAAGAGCCTTTTGTATATCAAAGCAGTTTTGAATAATTTAAATTATGTCAAGTTCACGCATGACAAGATATTATATTATTGAATTACTTAAAAGGTACATTAAGCCTCAACAAAAGCAGTAAAAATATGGTTTTAGAGATTTTGCCAGTGAGTAACAATTTCTCAACTGTAATTGTACAAAAAAAATTGAAAGATGAAAATACATATATAATATTTTTGAGACGTTATGGGCCTTGAAGTTAGATATCACGTTAATTTTTTTTATTAAGTTTTTTTGAAAAATTTTACACAGTCAAGTTATTGAAATAAGCCAACCAGTTAGGATATTTGATTTAATTTAGACTTTATTTTTCTTATTTTTATTTGCTCAATTTGTTAAATCCCAAGGAATTATGAATATTTGACTATATCATGTATATATAATGTATGTCAATATATAGATTATATATATATAAGCTAATATTGTTATATATGTATGTTTCTTGTTGATGATTGAAAGTGCTGCCATATGTTATCCATTTGAAACAAATTTGATTTTATGTTTTGTTCATATTAAAATATGTTATTTGTGTTGTGAAAATAGAAAAGAGCAGTTTTTGTTTTTGTTAAAAGTAATGGATATTCATCAAAATGTAAAATATTAATATACTGCCTATTTACAGGCTTTCAATTGGTTTTGATAATTAAAAAGAAGTGAAATATTAGTTTATACATTTCTTTTAAAATATGCAAAGTTTTAAATAGATACAAATATTGAAAATATTTCTTTTTGCACTCAAATATTTTCAAAAATGATTCTAACTTTAACCTTGCATTGTTTATGATGCTAAATTTAGCATTTTGTTTCTCTAAAAGAGGGTTTGAAACTGAATATAATTTGAACACTAAATATATATGTTAAATTTGTATTGTGTTTGTTTGTTAAGTTATATATGAAATAAATCTCTTCTCGTGTAGAAAAAGGAAAGCGCATGTCATTAGGATTAGATTAAGAGAAATATGTAGTTTTGCTATAAAAGAATGCAAAACTATATTAGTTATTCAGTTACTGGCATAGTTGTTAATTGACTGACAAACAATGTTATTCAGTAACTGGCAAACATAGTTATTCAGTTACCAGCAAACATAGTTATTCAGTTACTGGCAAACATAGTTATTCAGTAACTGGCAAACATAGTTATTCAGTAACTGGCAAACATAGTTATTCAGTTACCTGCAAACATAGTTATTCAGTTACTGGCAACATTGTTATTCAGTTACTGGTTAACGATAGTTATTCATTACCGGCAAACATAGTTATTCAGGTACTGACAAACATAGTTATTCAGTTACTAACAAACATAGCTATTCAGTTACTGACAAACAGTTATTCAGTTACTGGCAACCTAGTTTTTCAGTTACTGGCAAACATAGTAAATCAGTCACTGGCAAACATGGGTATTCAGTTACTTAGAAACATTGTTTTGTTACTGGCAAACGAGTTATTCAGTTACTGACAAACGGTAGTTATTCAGTTACTGGCAAACGGTAGGTATTTAGTTACTGGCAAACATGAGTGTTGCTCGATACACTAATGACACCCGTTTTGAACAATCGGCTTAGAACTATGTTCATGCAAACCGTACAGCTTCCAAATAAAAGTTGTAGCCGTCACTGCAAAAATAGTTCAACCTTGCACTAAAATTATATAAACTTTAATAGTCATTTTGCAATTTCAGTTACCGCGTTGCTCTAATATGTTTGCCTACCTGAGAATTCAATCTGTACCCTTTTTGTAGTACCGAAATAAACATTGAAGTTTTCAGAGGTTTTATTTAAGATTGGAATTATTATTGTACTTTTTATACATTCTACTAAGGTTGTTTTAAGAACTTTATCTGTATATTTTAATTTTGATTTATTATTTAATAAAAATTCTGCTTGTAATCGTTTTATTTGTTCATACCTTTTGCAGATTAAAAGAAAAGAAAGTTTTATTTTATTTGTTTGAACATACTTAATATATTGATTAAAAAACGTAACTATTGTTAATCAATAATTTACATATCAGAAAATCATTTTATATATATAGAGAGAGAGGGTCGATAAATATTTACATACACCTTTTGGAGGGGAGTGAACTACTATTGAAAGTATAATGAACTGTATCTGAAGTTAACGCCCTTGGTGGTTTGTGACGGGACAGGCAAGCTTAAATGACAAATAATAATTCAAGGCCAACGTAGGATTTTTTTTGTAAAATAAAGTAGAATTGTTCGTTCTTTTTTCCGTACATTCAGGGATCTTTCTTGTGTTTTATATAAAGTTCCCGTCTTTACCTTTGAAATATTGAGTATTACCACTGTCATCTTAAAGGCACATGTGTTCCTTAAATTAGGTAGATAAACATACATTTACTTGCATATCACATGTTAAATGAATCATGTGACTTTAAAGGCCCATTATACCCCAGAAATGGTTTTATTTTTATTTCTAAAAAGATTTTTATTTTTGGTGTACTTTTATAGTATCCAAAAAGTTCCTTATTTGCAAATTAAGTGAACCTTTCTTTTCTTCGTATGTATTTTGGCAAAAAGTACAGTGGAAGTCAAAATGCTACTTTGTACTTATATGATAAATTATTTCAAATTCAGCGCTATATTTTCAGGTAACAAGCATCCGGCATACTTTAAAAACATTATTTAAACATTATAGAATTCAAATTTTCCCTTTCTAAAGGAATAAAGGTTTATTCGTTTCTGAGGATTAATGTGCCTTTAATGCTGTCGTATTTTCATATAAGCGTCATAACATATTATGAATACCTCTAATCTATATAAGCACAACCGGTATATCATAGAACAGTGAACTTGTACTATATATACAAATTGGCAATTATTCGCCACCTGAATTCAATTAATGCCAATACAATTAGCAAATTCCATTGAATTTGTTCTTCATTACACGATCTTTTTTCTGTTTATATACTGTCATATTATCTAGAAAACATCGAGAAGTGCATTGTTATCACTAGTGCGAAGCGTTCAAGAAAACATGTATAATATAAGTGCAAATATAAGTGATGACCAGTATCTACCATTGTAACCTTACCTTTGATGTATTTTGATGTACATAAATGGCAAGTAAATGAAAACAGAAATGAGAAAAAACAAAATAACAGAAATAATTTGTTCATTAAAACACCTGATCATCTCCGTGTAATAAAATAACTTCTTTTCTCATTTTTATACCCCCGCACAACAAAGTTGTAAGGGGGGTATACTGGAATCAGGTTGTCCGTCCGTCCGGCTGTCCGTCGGTTTTTTCTTGTCCGCCCAATAACTTAAGATTCCTTTGACCTTTAGTCTTCATATTTGACATGGAGGTTAGTCATGATTAGTAGATGACCCTATTGATTTTGAGGTCACCAGGTCAAAGGTCAAGGTCACAGGGGCCTTGACTTCAAAAAGCTTGTCCGCCCAATAACTTAAGATTCCTTTGACCTACAGTCTTCATATTTGACATGGAGGTTAGTCATGATTAGTAGATGACCCCTATTGATTTTGAGGTCACCAGGTCAAAGGTCAAGGTCACAGGGGCCTTGACTTCAAAAAGCTTGTCCGCTCAATAACTTAAGATTCTTTTGACCTACAGTCTTCATATTTGGCATGGTGGTTAGTCATGATTAGTAGATGACCCCTATTGACTTTGAGGTTACCAGGTCAAAGGTCAAGGTCACAGGGGCTTTGACTTCATAAGCTTGTCCGTCCAATAACTTAAGATTCTTGACCACAGTCTTCATATTTGGCATGGAGGTTAGTCATGATTAGTAGATGACCCCTATTGACTTTGAGGTCACC